TTCACACTAGGTTAAACCCTCCCAAAGAGCTCAAGCAAACCTCCCACCCGGGATATTGGTGCTCCTCCTGTACAGGTTCCACCTTCCCCAGAAGCCATCCCAATATCTAAAGCCCTCCCTCCTACACCAGCACTGTAGCCACATTTTCAACTGTACTCTCTCTCTCTGTTCCTAGCCTCACTAACCCTGGCACGGGCAGTAATCCTGAGATTACTACTCTGGTGGCCTTGCTTTTTAGCTCCCTACCTAACTCCCTGAATTGTCCTTGAAGAACCTCTTCCCTCTTCCTGCTTTTGTCATTTGTGCCCATGTGGACAATGACTTCTGTCTGTTTTCCCTCATGTTTCAGGATATCCTGTGCCCACTCAGAGACATCCAGGACCCTGGCACCAAGGAGGCAACACACCATCTTGTTCATGCCTGTTTGTGCCCCTGACTATCGAGTCACCTCCTGTCGCTCGTCTGGATTTTGCTGCTCTACAGCAGAATCAGATGTGGTGCCACAGGCCTGGCTGCTGCTTGAACTATCTCCTGAGAGGCTATCCCTCCCAACAGTATCCAAAACGGTATACCTGTTTGAGAGGGGAATAGCCACAGTACACTCCTGCACTACCTGCCTGCCCCTCCTGGTAGTCACCTATCTATCTGTCTGTACCTGTGGTGTAACCACCTCCCCAAAGCTAGTGCCTATCACTCTCTCTGCCCCATGTATGCACCGCAGTGTGTCCATCTGCTTCTCCAAGCGAACTACGCAGTCTTTGAGAGTTGCAGCTCAGATGTAGCTGTCAGGGACTATAGACTGTTCTCCGATTTCCTACATTAGGCAGGAGCAGTGTACCACTGTCCTAACTCCCATCTCCGCTCTTGTACACTTGAAAAAAACAGATAAGAGTCTTACCTTGACAACAAGGTGCAGGGCTGGATGAACACAGCAGGCCAAGCAGCATCATAGGAGCAGAAAGGCTGACGTTTCGGGCCTAGACCCTTCATCAGAAAAGGGGGAGGGGAAGGGGGTTCCGAAATAAATAGGGAGAGAGTGGGAGGTGGATAGAAGAGGGATAGAGGAGAGGATAGGTGGAGAGGAGACGGACAGGTCAAAGAGGCGGGGATGGAGCCAGTAAAGGTGAGTGTAGGTACGGAGTTAGGAAGGGGATAGGTCAGTCCAGGGAGGACGGACAGGTCAAGGGGGCGGGATGAGGTTGGTCGGTAGGAGATGGAGGTGCGGCTTGAGGTGGGAGGAGGGGATAGGTGGGAGGAAGAACAGGTTAGGGAGGCAGGGACGAGCTGGACTGGTTTTGGGATGTGGTAGGGGGAGGGGAGATTTTGAAACTTGTGAAATCCACATTGATACCATTGGGCTGCAGGGTTCCCAAGCGGAATATGAGTTGCTGTTCCTGCAACCTTTGGGTGGCATCGTTGTGGCACTGCAGGAGGCCCAGGATGGACATGTCATCTGAGGAATGGGAGGGGGAGTTGAAATGGTTCGCGACTGGGAGGTGCAGTTGTTTATTGCGAACCGAGCGTAGGTGTTCTGCAAAGCAGTCCCCGAGCCTCCGCTTGGTTTCCCCGATGTAGAGGAAGCCACACCAGGTACAGCGGATGCAGTATACCACATTGGCAGATGTGCAGGTGAACATCTGCTTGATGTGGAAAGTCTTCTTGGGGCCTGGGATGGGGGTGAGGGAGGAGGTATGGGGGCAGGTGTAGCACTTCCTGCAGTTGCAGGGAAAAGTGTCGGGTGTGGTGGAGCTGGAGGGGAGTGTGGAGCGGACAAGGGAGTCACGGAGAGAGTTGTCCCTCCGGAAAACAGATAAGGGTGGGGAGGGAAAGATGTCTTTGGTGGTGGGGTCGGATTGCAGATGGCGGAAGTGTCGGAGGATGATGCGTTGGATCCGGAGGTTGGTGAGGTGGTACGTGAGGACGAGGGGGATTCTTTTTTGGTTCTTATTGCGTGGACGGGGTGTGAGGGATGAGGTGCGGGAGATGTGGGAGACACGGTTGAGGGCGTTCTCGACCACCAAGGGGGGGAAGTTACGGTCCCTGAAAAACGAGGACAACTGAGATGTACGGGAGTGGAATGCCTCATCCTGGGAGCAGATGTGGCAGAGGCGAAGGAATTGGGAATAGGGGATAGCATTTTTGCAGGAAGGTGGGTGGCAGGAGGAGTATTCTAGGTAGCTGTGGGAGTCGGTGGGCTTGAAATGAATATCGGTTTCTAGGTGGTTGCCCGATATGGAGACCTTACCTTGTCTGTCATGCTCGAGCACTACACTAATGTGAGGGTCCTTGACAGGATGTGGAAGAGATTTAATAAAATGAGAGTTTAGCTATATGGATGGTTGGAGAAACTTAGATTGTTCTCCTTGGATTAAAAGAGTTAAAGGAGATCTAGTAAAATGGTTAAAGATTATGAGTTCAGAGAAGCTAGACAAACAAATTAGCTACTGAACTGTATATCTTTTTAACCATCTTCTCAACTTCTCCTGCCACTTTTAAGATGTGTTGATGTACACTTCCAAGTGTGTCTCCTTTAAATGTTAATTATTTAGCTTCTGTTGCCTCCTCCTATCTAATCAACCAAAATGAATTAGGTCATATACTTTTACATTAAAGTTCATTTTCTACAATGTGCAGATTAGATGGATTGGCATTGCTAAATTGCCCCATAGTGTCCAGGCATGCAAATGCTAGGTGGGTTAGCCATGGGAAATGCAGGATTACAGGGATAGGGTAGGGGGGTGGGTCTGGGTGGGGTGTTTTTCAGGGAATCGGTGTGGACTTAATGGGCTGAATAGCCTGCTTCCAGACTGTAGGGATTCCATGATTCTATGTTACATAGTTACATCTTTTTGACACTTGCAAGTACACACCTAGCTGCATGTCTGAGTTTGTTTCATTGGCAAATGTTTACATTATTTTTATTCATTCAAGGCATATAGGCTTTGAAGGCTGGGCCAGTACTTATTGCCCATCCCTAATTGCTCAGAGGGTAGTTAAGAGTCAACCAAAATGCAGTGGGTCTGGAGTCACATGTAGGCCAGACCAGGTAAGGATGGCAGTTTCCCTTCCTAAAGGCATCAGTGAACCAGATGGATTTTTCCAACAACGAACAATGTTTTCATGGTCATCATTAGACTCTTAATTCCAGATTTTTATTGAAAGCAAATTCCACCATCTGCCATGGCAGGATTTGAAACCAGGTCTCCAGAACATTACCTGGGTCTCTGGATTAATGGTCTTGTTATAATACAAGGCTATCACATCCCGTAATGCAATGTATAGTCAAGACAGATCACCTCTATAAGACGGTGGAAATGTGGTGTAGGGACTGAAGAAGCACTCCAAAGAACAGTGCTTATTGTCCAAAGAATAGGATTTAAGTCTCGCCATAGTGATTTGAAAATTTGGATCTGGAAATTAAAAGTTACTGTCAAGCTCTAAGATCGACCTGTTCACTAATCAAAAAGCAATGCTAAAAGCAACTCACCACGCTAGACCCAGAGCAGCACAACTAAATTTTACACAGTTGAATCAAAACCACTACCTGTGGTTGTAGATGTGTCATCAATTATATGAATAGGAAAGATTTAGAGGGATAAATGCAGGCAAGTGGGGCTAGTTTAATTTGGGTAACTTGGTCGGCATGGACGAGTTGTACCGAAGGGTCTGTTTCTGTGCTGCACGACTCTGCGGCTATAACTCTATTTTTTAACCACCTCCCAGCTCATTGGAACTCCTGGCTTGTGACTTCTCAAAATAAAGCAGACTCATTTGGAAAGGCGCTAACCACATTGCAGGACTTCATTGCAGCAAAGTAGAGCCCTCTGAGAATGTGCACAAACCTCCCAGTCATTTTTCTGCTTGTATGTTTTAAGCACTACCTGGCCTGCATCTGGCAGAGTCTGAAAACTACTTATCCACCATCTCAGAACCCATCAAACTGGATTGAAGTACTCCATCCCTAATCTCAAGGGACTGATTGCGAAGACAAAGAGGACCAAGTGGCTGCTTAAATGATGTAACCACAAAATTTCTTTTAAGAAATCTGACAATCGTGCTCCAGATATTAAGGAGACTTTTTTTAAAATGGAAAATCATCTGGCAATCTTTTTTTTTCTGATGAAGGGTCTAGGCCCGAAACGTCAGCCTTTCTGCTCCTACGATGCTGCTTGGCCTGCTGTGTTCATCCAGCTCTGCACCTTGTTGTCTCAGCCTTCTGATGTATTGGCTTGCAGTTCTGGAAGGTGCTGCTGTGTACAGACCTCTGAAAATTACAGGAGGAAAAATTACAGTAGCACAATTTGTAGAAATCTTGGGTTCTCAAATCTTGAGAGACATCTTGAGGGGTGGCATGGTGGCTCAGTGGTTAGCACTGCTGACTCCCAGCACCCAGGGACCCAGGTTCGATTCCAGCCTTGGAAGACTGTCCCTGTAGAGTTTGCATCTTCTCTCAGTGACTGTGTGGGCTTCCTCCCACAGTCCAAGATGTGAAGATTAGGTTGATTGGCCATGCTAAATTGCCCATAGTATTCAGGGATGTGCATAGATATATTAGCTATAGGAAGTGCACGGTTACAGGGATAGATTAGGACGGGATGCTCTTCAGAGGGTTGGTGTATTTCAATGGGCTGAATGACCTACTTCCACACAATAGAAATTCTATGACATCTTGAATGAGTGTTTAAATAAAACAAAGAACTACAGATGGTGTAAATTGAAACAAAGACAGAATTTGCTGGATAAATGCAGCAGAGTAAAGAGAAAGCAGAGTTAAAGTTTTGAATGCAGTGACTCTTCCTCAGAACTGAATAGATCTTGAGTGGATGTTTCTTCAATTTGCTTTATTACTGGTGCTGGCCTTCGAGAGGCACTTTAGTGGAATGTTTTGAAAACAAAGTATCATGTTTGGTTAAGAAGTTATGGCTGCACCTTAACTTAGCCACCACTCTGTCCATTGTGGCACCAGGACTTGACTTTATACTGCTACATGTTTCAGGAAGTCAAGTTGAACTGATAATTTTATTAAAAATAAGTAGACACAATAGGAATGTACATAAACTAGAAAACCACAATATTTTTGTCACATGAAAAGCAAAGATGTGGAGACACTTATTCAATATGACTCCGCTTTCCAATTTACTTCCTTATCGTCTACTCAGAAACAACTGGAAAACTTGAACTTAACCTCCTTTATCCACACACCAATTAACGTCCCAAGCAAGGGTTCCTCCTGCAAAACAAGATACAGTGGTTATCTCATTACACAGTCCACCAAGTGCCATTGCACAATCCTCCCTCTGGTAATGTAGGGACTTCCTATGTCGTCATGGTATAAAAATTAACTGATCAATTGATGAATCAATCTCATAGCCCAAGAAAGTTTGTACTGTACTTTGCTCACTGATGAGTTTTGTACTACGAAATCTGAGTGAAAAGGTTGTCAAAAAAAACTTCGAAACGTGAAACATCGGCAGTACTTAACTTTGCTCGTTAATGGGGCATATCTAGAATTTAGATAGACATTCAACCATTTGCCATTAGGCGACTTATTTGCATTGTTTTACGTGGGGATATGGATAGGCTTTACTTGTGGTCAGTTACTGAGTTTCCACAAGCGTGTGGGTGAGTATTTTTCAGGCGTAATGCCCACCCCCAATGATTAGGGCTGTGCAGTGAAGACGACAAGTGTTGTTGAATTTGAATGCACTTGTTTTCCGCACAGACGGCGGGTACACTGAACAATGGCCCAATTGAGGCGTGGAGAGAGAGAAAGAAAGAAAATTGCTTCATATTATTCATTCACACACCAAAAAGCAACTACATGAACAAGTCAGTTTTGTTTTGGTGGGGTTGGGGAACCTTAACAAATCAGTCCACTCTTACATTCTATATAACGACTCTCCAATAAGAAATTGCCCAAACGAATCTTTAAAAGAGTCAAATGCATTTAACTCAAACACAAATGGGTTTTGGAGAAATAAAGGGGACGCGACTTTTTTCAAAAGCAAAATAAACAACTTAAAAGTAAACTTTAAAAATAGTTTTGTTGTTGTTGATATAGAAACTACCTTTTTTTTTTGAGAGGAGTAGGTTTAAAAAAAAGACATCTTTTAACCCCCTCAGAGTCTATTCGGATGGAGACTGCGTTTTTTTTCTTCTCCGAGTGTCTCTCCTATTTCTCGAGGGAAATTTCTCGAAGGGAGGAAAGAGAAATAAAAAAAATTGGCCAGAAGTTTTTGGTTTTGTTTCCTTCTTTTGAAAAAAAAACGGTTCTTGCAGTGAGCGGAGGGCGGGAAAGACTCCACCTCCTGGAGAATCATAAATTCCTCAGAGCCACCTCAAATATTGAACTTTCTCGCCGGGGCTGGACATTTTAAAGAGATCGTCCAGATCGACACGTGTCGCCAAATAAAAAAAAACACAACCGGAGAAAGAGGAGGAAAAAAAATCCGACAGTCCAAAACTCTATTTTTTTTTTGTCTTTGTTGATAATAGAAACTACTTACAATTTCTTTCAGGGGAGTAGGTTTTTTAAAAAAAACATTTTTTTTACCCCCTCAGAGTTCAGTCGGATGGTGACTGCGTTTTTTTTCTTGGGTATCTCCTATTTTTGTTGGTGGTGGTGGTCACCCCAAGACTTTAACAAGGGATTGTTCTGTTCCTTCCATCATCCTTCCAAAAAAAAGTTTACTTTTAGATGAAGTTTTTTTCCCTCGTTAGTTGGAACTCATCGCGCAGGCGCAGGGAGAGCAGCGCAGCAAATTCAAACGTGAATTCTCTCTCTCGTTGGATTTTGAGAGGAGAGGGGAAAAGAAAGGGGATAAAGTATGGTAGACAGGGGCCCCTTATTGACCTCAGCCATCATCTTCTATCTGTCAATCGGTGCTGCCATTTTCCAAGTCTTGGAAGAACCAAACTGGACTGAAGCAGTGAATCAGTACAAACTCAAAAAGTCTCAGATCCTTAAAGAACACCCGTGTCTCACCCAGGAGGATTTGGAAAAGATTTTGGAGGTAAGCATCTGTACCCCCTGGCTTCTTTCCCATCTCCAGCCCTTAATTAATAGGTGTTCATGCCTTTCCTATCTTCGCATTTACTAATCCTGTATTTATTCTTTAAGCGGCGCAACTTCTCATTTCTCCACCAGGCTCTTCTCTCGATAACTATGTTCCCTGCCCCCATCACTTCCCTGTTTCCAAAATCCTTGAAAAAGTTGGTAATCATCACAAAATTTTAAGTGGTCCCTCAGATCAACTTTCATGTGATTGTAAAATTCCCTCAAATTAACTTCCATATGATTTCTTGAAAGAAAACTCAAGCAAATGCTTAAACTCTCATCCTCAAGTTAATAACTTTTTTAAAAGCTCTCAAATCAACACGCAAAAACTCTCAAATTTTAAAGCTCCCTCAAATTAACTTTCATGTAATTTTTATATTTCAACAAAATGTCTGTATTCTGATTTTAAAACTCCCTTGAATTAACTTTCTTGTGATTTTAAAAACTCTCACTCTACCTTCCATATAAAACATCCCGCACTTAAATTTCTTGAATGACTCCTTTAAGATTTCACCCTAAATTAGTTGGCGTGTGGCTTTAAGAGAAAGGTTATCTGGTAAAGTCGTAATGGAAATGAAAATGAAAATGTTTCTTTGACTGGAACTTGACTTTTTTTAAAATTGTTGTTGAGTCTGTGGCTGTGAGTCCCAAGTTATGCATCAGAACCTCGTGATTATTTCATTTTGGAGTATTTCCCAAACTCCGAGTAACCGAAGTAGTCTGTATTTGCATTTTTATAAAAAAAATGTAGTGGCAATGCGTTTACTCACGATGCAAATCTAAATACACACGCAAAAAAACTGCTGAAACCTGCCGCTCTGAGGGGAGGGAAAGTTGGGGGCGGAAGGGGTCAACGCTTTATTGACCCTCCAATGGCACGGGTGGGGGTTGATCCCGGCTTGACTTTCCATTCTGAGTATGAAGGCGTGTGTTAAGTCTGTGACGGTGGGTCCCGGCTCTCTTATCCTTCTCGTGTCTCCCAAAGCGGAAGAGAGAGAAATTAAATTGTTCACATCCTCCTGCTCTCCAATTAAAAATAAAATCGAATGCTGGAGGTGTGAGATTGAAACGGTAAATCGCCCCAATTGTGAAATGCTGGGTTTTTAATAAACTGGGATCCGCAAGGTAACCTCCTGTGGAATCCCCTGATCCGTTTGTCAAATATCCTAAGACTATGCGGCTCGCAGACTCGTTCACTGATATCATTTGCCACTTGAGCAACATGTCTCTACACAGCGATCACACCAGCACTGAGTTAGGAATGAACAAGCGGTACAAATGCATCAATATTTGCAAGGAGCTCCCCTTTCCTTCCCGCAGAGGGGGGAAACAAAAAAAGTATTTTTTTTAAAAAAAGGAAGAAACTGGTTAGGTTAAAATAGGCGAGAAGACTGTCTTCCCCGTTCGTTTCTGGAAATGTTTAGATTTCCCCTCGGAGCTGAACAGTGTTTGAAAGTGTTATGCCGTCTGAATATTTGGACAAAAGGAGCGAAGTTAAAGGAGTTAGTGCGCGCTGTTTATTTATTGATAAGACACTCTCTTTCCACACCGCGGGGCACATTTGAATGAATGAATGTGTGTACATAGTATGACCCTACAACTGTTAGGCGGCAACACAAAGGATTTAAGTTACGAAGGGAAAATTAAGCAGCGGATCCATGGGAGCGTGGTCAGTGAGTGGGTAAATGAGTGTGTTCTGATGGGGATGGTTGGCTGTCACAGGGAAAGAGGGTGACTGTTAAAACGTGCGCGTCCGGCTTACACTTCACAACAAGTCAAAAATTGTCGACATCGCGTCTTTGAATCCTCCGCTTATTGATACACCGAGATATTATGATATATTTAATCTATATATATGAAGGAGTCCTTTTTTTTCTCTCTCTAAAAGTTGGCTCCTGGTAGTTGGGAATGGGACCGATTCAACACAAGACTAACTCTTCCCTCAAACCTGAACTGTGCAAATCGCATCGCTGAAAGAATATCCGATAGCAGAGTGTTTAGTTCCCTCTCCGCCAACCTTACTCATCTCTCACTTCATCAGCAATAATGATTACTCGATTATGAGTACCTTTCTTAGTTCTTGAAGACGCAGGAGCAGTTGGACTGTAATTCTTTCCTGCCTTTCCCTCGCCTACTTTTGTTAACCCTGCCTCCCTGACTTTAACTCGGTTGGTTTAATTTGAACTCGCTTTGCTACCTACCCGGTTAATGGGTGAACAGGCGGGTGTTTTCACCGTGAAAGTGCACTTGTTTTGTGTTTTTTCAGAGACCCCACGGGTAGCTCTCGGCAGAAGTGAATCGTGGTGAGTGAGAGAGACTGCAAATTATTGGAGCCGGGTTTTTTTTGCGGGTCGGCGGGGGGGTGTTGTTTGCACGTGTGGTTTACAGAGAGAAGCTTTCGAAAACGTAAAAGCAGGTTCTTTGTTTGACGGGTTGACTGGATATTGACAAGTTTGGGCAACTGTGGGGCTTGCCATGCAATGGTGACCGCCAACACCGAGGGGGCGGGTGTGTTAGGGGTGGAAAGGGGCGCGGAGTGGGTGGGAGAGTGCTTTTTTTAAAAAAAATAAATCTACCTAGGGCAGTTTATGCTGTTGCAAGTTTCCACATTCGGGGGGCAGTATGAGGAGGTGGAGTGGTGTGTTTCAGCTTTGTTTTTGGGGTGGGGAGAGTATTGGGAAAGATAAACTCAATATCATGTCCTAAATAATTCAAATCTTGAAATGTCAGATGGTAAATTCAGGAGAATCTTCTTTTCCGGAAGAGTTCATACAGTTCAGAACAGGCCCTTCGGCCCGTTGAGCCTGGACTGACACACAAACTAATCTACACTAGTCCCACTTTCTTGTACTTGGCCCATACGCTTCAATGTTAAACGTGTTACACTATCACAGGAGATGGGGGAAAAAAAATCTACATAAGGAAGCTAGATAAATACAGGAGAGAAAGAAATAGAATGTTCTACTGAAAGTGTTGGACGACGACTTGTGTGGAGCACGAAAACTGCCAAGAATCGACACACTTGTGTGCCCTATGTCTGCTGTACCTTAAAAGTACTTACCTGCAGTGTGTCCACGTTGTAAGACACAGAAGAGGGGATTTTTTTTGTGGGGGGTGGGAAAGATCAAAAACTAACAGTTTTTAAAACTTTGGATTTTGGTTTACATCTCATGAGTTTATGCCCTACTCGCTAATGGAGGTAACCAATCCCAGTACCATGCAGATGGATAGTCAAAGCAAAAAGACTGAATTAATTCAGAACAGTATCTTTTGAGGGTTTTGTTTGCTTCCACTTCCAGTTTTGTTCTTTCAATTTTTAGTTTTTTTTTCTAAATTGTAGAGCCATTTTCTTTTGAAAATATATCCTGTTGTCTTGTGGTCAGCTATTGTGAGTTGTTCTATTTGCAAACCGGCCAAAGTATTCTGCAGGTATAGTAGGAACTGCAGATGCTGGAGAATCCGAGACAACAAGGTGCAGAGCTGGATGAACACAGCAGGCTAAGCAGCATCATAGGAGCAGAAAGGCTGACGTTTCGGGCCTAGACCCTTCATCAGATTTTGACGATGACCAAGCCTCTGACAGCTTTCTGCGTCAGTGTCGTTACATGTAGAGAGGCTGTCATGAGCAAAGTATCAAAGCAGTGGCTCCTGCTGACTTTTGAATTGGCCATCTTGATCCTTTGAGTGTAGATAACAAAACATTGGTGCTATTCACTTGATCAGTGAAATATCCCTTTGTCGGCCAGGGCCTAATTCAATATTGCTTTAGTATCTTCATCAGAAGGCCATGGCTCAAGTCCCTCTTCAGAGACTTGATTGCATAATCCAGGCTGACTCTCCATTCTGAGGAAGGGTCACTGAAACCAAAACGTTAACTCTGATTTCTCTTCACAGACGCTGCCAGACCTTCTGAACCTTTCCAGCAATTTCTGTTTATGTTTCTGACACTTTAGTGCATTACTGGTTGAATGCCATCATTTGGGTGAGACATTAAATCAAGGCTCCTCCAGTTTAGGTGGAAGTATAAGATCACCTGGCACTCTTGGGAAGAAGAGTACTGTTCTGGAAAATATTTATCCCAAACCAATCATTATTGAGTTATTTTGTTGTTTGTGGGGGCTCACCATATGTAAATTAGCTGCTGGGTTTCTGAGTTTCGAACTCAAACTGCACTCTTCCGAAAACCCTTTTTTTTGGGTGTGAATGCAATATCTTGAGGTAATAAAAGGTGCAATATCAGTGCAAACACTGTAGAAGTTGTCAAAGCAAATTAATTGTAAAACTGAGGTTCTAAGTTTATTTGTTGATCTCGGTTGATTTAGCTGATCATCTTTAATGTACTGTTTATCTTCGGTGCCACTGAATCAAGGTTCAAATATATGCGGATACTCGTTCCTGCTAGAAAATGCATGTCAGGACGTCAGGAGCTTTGTTTTTAGGTTTAGCTGTGAAGCATTCACAGTCAAATGGTGCGTTGTTGTTCAGCCACCAAGGTATGACTACCCCTCTGAGAACTCGAATATTTGCCTCTAGAATTATTTCGCAGTATGAGTCTGTGCTCCCTGAGGGGGGAAGAAGGTGGTTTGGGGAGAAACTGGGTTGGGGAGGAATGTAGGGAGGGAGAGAAGTCGTGGGAGGGGTGGTTTGGGTGGTGGGATGAGAGATGTTCCACAAAAATAATTCTGCGGTTGTTTTGGAGAAATTTAAAATGCCTGTCTTTTCTCTTATAGCTCGCCAAGCTTTCCCGAGTTGACGGGTAATCTTTGTATATAGGTGAGTGACGCTGAATCCCCTGCCCTCACTCAGAGGGAGGAGTGGGAGAGCGTCGGTCACTCTTGCTGGTGGCAACCAAGTTGGTTTCCTTTCTCTCTTTCTTGTGCTCTCGCGCTCTCTCTTCCAACCCTCTTTCCCTCCCTCTGCTGATAAAACTGCTTTTAAAATCAGCTCTTTGCTTACCAAGCCTAAAGAGGTCTTGACGATTTGATGTGGGTGGGGGGGGGGGGGGGGGGGGCTGGTGTGGGGGGGGGGGGTGGGGACCGTTCCATGCTTGGCCACCTTGGCTGATGCAAGACGTCTTGTGCATGGGTGTGAAGGTACCTGTCTGCTGCATGGTCTGCTTTGTTGTGAGGTCTTGTTGGTCATTTTTAGCATGCATTTTAGAGTGCACTAAAAATTATTTTCTCGTGCAGCTGTTGTCGGCGAAATAATTTGCATCATGGCTGA